CGTCGATGTCCATTGCGTTCGGGTCCCGGGCAGGCGGCGTGAAGGGGGTGGTATGCAGCGGTACAGCCGGCTTGGCTGCGATGGTGGTGGTGGTGGTGCGTCCGCGCTGACGATCCTGTTCGGCACGGCGTTGGCGGACCCGAACATTGATGTCGGAAGAGACGGAGATGAGGTCCTCGAGGGAAGCGATGGGCCGGGCCGTGTGCACCAACTCGTCCTTGATGGAGTCCGCGAGGTGCTTATAGAAGCGGTCTCGGAGGTCGGCTTTGGAGTAGCCCGTGCGGGTTGAGAGCTCGTTGAACCGTGCGGCGTACTCCGGAACGGTCATGGTGCCTTGCCATAGCGTACGGAGACGTTCCTTCGCGTCGACCGCCTCGTCAACCGTCTCGAAACGGGCCTTGAACTGAGTACGGAACTCGGTCCACGATCCTTTGAACGGGGTGGTGCCCTGCGTGATCTCCTCCATCGCCGGAGTGGCCCAAAGAGCTGCGCTGTCCTGCATAAACGAGAGGACCGCCCGGATCCACTGGTCGTCCCGCGCACTGATCGCGTTGCCCATGGCATCGACATGGTTGAGCGTCGAACCTTGGGACATGGCCCAAAGGGTGAACGCGGCCAGGAAACGCCGTGCCTCACCTCCTTGTTCGCCTTTGAAGGTGGAGGGCTTCTGAACAGCCTTCAGACCGCTGGTCCCGGTGGTCGAGTTTGCGAGCTGCGCCATGGACTGGGTGAGGAGAGTCATCGACTGGAGTAATACCGTCATGGGGTCCAGGGGTTGCATTGCCGTCTGGGTGCCCGGTTGGGCCTGCTGGGGGTTGTTGGCGGGGCCTGTCGTCTGCGGTTGTCCGCCTTATTGTCCCATGATGGGTGGAGCGGACGGTGGACGGGTTGGGGGGATGCTAGGGGATGGGGGAAGCGCGATGAGTAGCGCTACTTCAAGCTCGTCAGTCGGAGTACCGGGGATGGGGGATCGAGTCGTGGGCGACTCAGCAACGGGGGAGTCAGGAACTGGGATGAACTCGTCCGAAAAGGCGTTCCAGTTGATCCGAGCAGGACGGTGATGACGGTTCGGGCAGGGGTTTTGCTCGCACGGTACCCAGTACCAGAGTCCGTCGTCTAGGTCCTTCCGTCAGTGACAGTAGTCTTGGTCTTCGGCGTCCCACGCGTGAAGTCTGCCGGCGCAGTCCAGGGTGGGGAAGACAATGTAGCGGCGGCGGGGACACTCTTGTTCAGAGCGTCAGCACCGGGGGAGAGATCTCGACCTAATGTCGCGGCGACTAGGCGCGTAGACTCGGGTCGACGTTCGGCGACGACCCCGTAGGCAAGTGGCGAGGAGCCGAAAGGGGAGAAGAGAGGGTGAGAGGGATAAACGTATCAGAAAACTCGACGGGGCAGAGCGGCGGTCGGCACGGAGGCACGAGACCGATGAAAGCTAGTCTTCACGCAATCAGCGACAGACTAGTCCCAATGACCAAGTTATACATTAGCAATCGAAGAGAGATACAACGCTATGGTCACTCACCTAGTCCCAATGACCAAGAGGTCGAGATGGGGACTAGGGAGTGCCTAAGGGGGTCCTTATATACTAGAAGGGCTGCTTAGCAACCAAAGACAAGGCGCAAGAGCGAGGCAGTGAGGATGACAAAGGGAGAACAAAGGGCGGGAAGGAAAAGGCAAAGGCATGGCGATCACGGGAACGTAGCATGCGGGTGTGGGAACGTATCTACAGTGTCCAAATTGGGATGGGCTAAGAAAGGAAATGGTCCGAAAATGGAAGGTGGGCGTCAAGGGGAGGGGAATGGGCGGCAAAAAGGGGCGTCTGTCTAATGTCCGTGACAACCGGCCACGTGGAGGAAAGCGCTTAGCGAGATTTGGACAGTGGTGCCATTAATCTCTCAGATCACCACCTGTCAATCGAGGTGGGATGTCAATATTTCAGTGCGCACTTGACATCAATTCATTCCCCAAGTTCAAGTTGTGCTCCTCCACTAAGGTTCTCCTGTATGCCCACATCGTCCCCGAAGTTCACGTGTCCATCTCAGCCTATTCACGTATCCTGTCAGTCGCTCTGTAGCCTGCAAAGATGCTGTGCTGTTCCACCACAGCCAAGTATGTTCACACTATTTTTCTCGTCATGTTGAAGGTGCAGGTCCACCTCCTGCTATGACCGTCTCCTGGTGAACCTGGAGCGTTCGCAGGTGGGGACAGTGCGATACGTCGACGTGGTCCTCCTCGCTACGCTGCGGCTGAAGCGCAGTCAAGGCACAATCATAACCGTCCTGGTATAGTGTTACGCTCAAGCCTCCACTCGAATGCTATCCTCTTATTTTCCTCTGAATGTGTCGGCAGATGTTCGACGTCGAATGTCCTCAGGAGGATTCCACGACGGCGTGCACGAGAGCAATGGATAAGATGGACCCAGGGAAGACTCGCCATACGGGTATCTACCCTCCACCAGTCGTTACAAGATCAGGTCCGAGAGCAGCCTATGTAACCGGCCACTGGGCGACTCGCTGATGCGGCGTCCAGAACGGGAAGTATTGGTAGTAGCGTTTGGCGCGATGAGGAGATGGGAGATACGGTACGTGGAGACAGAGCAGAAGGGTCAGATACGGATGTCGGCCGAACAACGTATCGCGAGGATCCCCCATTCCGAGCGATACAATACAATGGTAGAGTGCTGGCGCCGATGTGTAACAGCCATAGAACGGTGACCATGCAGCGCAAGGGGCAGGAATTGTAATGGGACGAGACAGGGGCGCGACAGAGACAGAGACAGAGCGGAACAACGAGCAGACCTGCCGACTGTGCGCTCCTGCTCCGTCTCAGCTGCCATACATAGCGCGCTAGCGTTCTTTGTGCCTCTTGAAACCCTTTGTTGCTGCTTCGTTGCTGTCTGCATTTCCGTCCACCGACTGGGAAAGCAAAGTCCTAGAGCCAATCGAACTGGATCCTGGGCCTACAAAGTGGTGAGTAGCCTTCTGTAGGACTTCGTATTGGGCGTACGCAGAATTTTCGTAAGTGTTCCATTCGACAGACACCGCGAAAGTCTCGTGCACTGTCCAGCACATTCGTGCCGCGACTCGGAGACTAGCAACACTTCAGTAAGACTTTGCCAGAGTTTGCACGTGGTTGAAAGCGCTTCAGCGATGATGATTTAGACGGTGCGTGTTGTCACAGTTTTCTCATGCCACGTGACCTGGGGGTCATGTGTACTGGGACAGACGCTCACCTTGACCACGGGCAACTTGTATCGGAAAGTGGAGGGGCCAGGATCGAACTCCAGACCTCGTGACGGGCAGGAGCGCCCATCCTCACTCACTGGCAGGTGACTGATGTGACAGCAGGAGCGCTTACTCATTGGAAGGGGTCCGGACTCGGCACGACTCAGGTATTAGTCGTAAGGTCACCATGAGGCAGGTCAGAGGGTAGGACATGAGGCAGAGAACTCTGACCAAACGATGGTCAATAGGTACCTGGTCTGTGCACCGTTGTATTAGTATATATAGTAGGGAGTCTGAGGCCGGGAACCTCAGACTTGATCTTCTCGTCGATCACCCATCTCCTCTGTAGGTAGCTAGCAGCCCTACCTCCCACTGCCCCTTCTAGTCTAGGGAATCTACTTCTTTACACCATCTCTTGCTGTGTCACCTGGAGTTGCTTCGCCCCTCAGCACCAACCCCATCACCAGTAAGCTTTGTCTTTGTTTATCTGGTGGCACAGCTCGTTGGCTGTGACACGTGTTGACAGTGCGGTATGTACAGCTGGTTGCGGAATTTATGCCAGCCGTCTCCGACTGACGCTCGCGCACTTTCTGCATCGTAAAATGAAACAAATTCCATAAATTGCCCTGCACTATCGAGCACCT